TATATATATATATAACTGTTTTAATTGTTTTAATCATACAACGTGTTTGAATTGGAAATGTTAAAAATGTCCTATATATTATAAAAGTAATATAATATCAATGCATGTTGTATGTGTTTGTGTGTGTGTGTGTGTGTGTGTCATGTTTCAAAGATAGTGAATAAATGGCGCGCGCGAAGCGCGCGCTGTTTTGTTCTAGTTATAAAAAAAATGTAAAAAAAATGCGTACAGTTCTATGTCAGTTTTCTGTTTTCTTATAATTCTTTTACCAAGGCTGATTGATAGAATTAATGTAAATTCGACTACATTGTAGAAGTTGGGACACGTGAACCCGGCATGTCTATACGTATTTAAGATCTCACTTTCTGGACCGCAGTACATACTATACGCATCTACCTTGATTGAGTACCATAATATCATCGATGAGTGAAATTATCTGACTGCCCGGTTGATGTATCGCACAAACTACAGTATAGTTTGCTTTTGCCATATCGTGCAGCATTTTAATGAGCTATATAAGACAAATATCGTGCCTTCCGATACAGTACGTAAAGAGCACATTGACAATATTTAGATTTACCAATATAGCAAAATAATATGAACATTCCAGCTGTTGCAGCGATATTGCTGTAGTGTTTTACGCTTGCGTAGAATTATTAGTAGAATATAACAAGTGACAAATATCGATTATTTATGTCAGTTAATATCGAATAACGTTTTTGTAAAGCTCGTATATATCGGTCTACATTTGCATTACTAATCTAATTGTAAGCTGTACTTGATTAGAAGCCGCACTGTCGAGACCACTTGTTGGCTTGTCTAATAAACAAAATAGGTGGCTTGACGATCATTTCCACTCCAATGGAAAGTCTCTTCACTGCTTAACTTATCCGTCAATGTATTCGGGTTTGACAAGCCGAGACTTTCTGCGATATTATTTATCTGACAGAAATAATATATATATACAATTATATTATATGTATCAATCATATCTAAATGTGTATATATAACACGTTGAAACGTTTCTTTCGTAATTTTATTTTACTTACAACTAAATGACTTGCTTTTTTATTTTGTTTAACGTTGAATTTGAATTGTGCCGCTATATGGAGAGTTTCTCGCATCTTGAGAAGCGGCAGTAAATCGAATTGTTGAAGCACATAGCGCACCTATTTGCGGAAATTCTCTTTATTTTGTTTAATACCTTTTATGGTGATAGTTCTCTTCAGTATCGATCAGTTGTTTACCCGATATAATTTTCAATAGGGTGGTCTTTCCCGCGCCAGAACCGATTATCACTGTGACTTTTCCCGATTCAAAATGCCCCGTTACATAATGTAAGATCATTTTCTTAGTCCTACAGTAAACGTTCTTCTTTAACCATGCGACACAAATGCATGTAAAGCGGATAAATAGAATGATAGATATAAAAGAGAAAGAAAGAATAAGGAGCAGAGAGAGACACGTTTCATATATTTAAGTGATCTCTAGATCACTCAAATCAATATAATACTATATGTAATATAAACAATAATTTAATATAACAATTTAATATAACTCTTAATTAAATTATGTAACAACTTAGTAAATTCTTAAAAAAAGTTTCAAACGTTTAAATTAATATTTTATTGTGCAATAGTACCTGCAAACGGATCAACTTTTTATAAGTTCTGCAATATATTTCAAAGAACTTACTGATTGACGCAATTAATATTTTTATAAACCCTCAATACAGCTATCAAACAATCAATAATACGGAGTAATGTTAAATATTGTTTTGATCAATAATATTGATCTAAAGGCCACTTGAGGAAATGCTACTTTCTAATGTCAAAAATAGGAAAGCTACGCGGCTGATGATGACCATGTAGATGTTTGTTAAAAACTTGGACTTTGTATTGCGATATCCTTGTTCATGACGCATAAAGAAAAAAAACAAAAAACAGTTTTATTATCTAATATCAACTTGAACTTAGAACTCAATTGATTCAGTTGTAAACGAGATACAAAAAGTGAACCGAGTTCTCGCGTAAATACAGCCATAGGCGTTTCAACTCGCTATTATGTTTCTTTTTCTTATTGCAATCAAGTGACCTGCAGACGTCAT